TGAGCCGGTGAGATTTGAACAGCCAAACTGCAGAACTGCAGTCAGCTGAAGTAGCCTGCAGTGCTGCATTTAACCACTGCGCCACCTCGGCTCATTTGAGACAGTGATGATGCCTCCAACACTAAAAACGTCATGAACCCAAAAGGCCATCATAACTTTTCAGTAAGATGGTGATTACTGACTTTTAGGAGTCCACAAAATGCAGCCACGACTAATAGTTTCCTTTCTATGGCCCCAGACATCTCCCTAGAGATAAATTTAGCCTATTTCAGTGATGGCGAACCTTTTTTGCACTGTGCCCAAACCGGAACCTACATGCATGTGCGTGCATGCACACATGCCAGAATTTCGGAAACCCAAAGACCAGCTGACCGACATGCGCATGCCTGTTTTTTGGCTGTTGGGGGGAGGGCATTTTCAAGTCATTTTTCAGCACTCTGGCACCCGCGTGGATCATCTAGCCAGAAACCAGAAGAGCAGCTGACTATGGCACACGTGCCCACAGAGAGGGCTCTGTGTGCCACCTCTACATGCCATAGGTTTGCCATCACAGGCCTATTTTATTCTTCTGGAGAGACTAAGGGCAAAATACTGGCCCTAAACTTTGTAGAGACTTAAGACATCATTTCTCCACTTAAGAACCCTGAAAAATTGAGAGAAGCCACTTGGCACACAAAGCTGGAATGGATTTTAGGTTGCTGGAGGTTTACATCCTTGGATTAGAAGAATCCTAACCACAAGGATTTTTTTTAAGTAGAGTATTTGTAAGAAACTGGGTGTGTGATAATCCAGCACAGATCCTCAGACCAGTTAATCCCATTCATTCTGATTTGTGTCATGCAGAAAAATGGGGTCAGCATTCCCCACTGGAATTACCTTAATGTGGTTCCACGCAGTGCAAGGCACATTTTACAAAGCAGCATTTTTTATTTTTTCTGCACTCAGAGTCATTATTACATTCATATTGCCCTTTAGTTGGACATCTTATAATCTCTTTTGGGCATTTCTTTGGTTTTTCTGCAAAAAAAAAAAAAAAGAAAGAGCAGTAGGAAAAAAGCTGTATCCATTGCATTCAATCCGAGCCTTAAAGACACTTTATTTCCACAGTGGGAGGACAGCATTAAAACTTAAATCTGATAAGGAAACTATGCTTACACTTTAGAGAAAGGAAGATGGATATTTGAGAACGCAAACAACCTCAGTGGGAGTCCACAGGGTGGTGACAAAGTGATGCAACAAATGTTATCAAAGCAAATAATGTTTTGCATCATATGCATTATATGGTTTTGCATCAGACATCACAGCACTTTTGTTAGACATTTATGTTAATTTGGTGGTTTTTAATAAGGATATCTGATGATGCATGTGTTGTGGCCCGCCAGTGGCCAGCAAAGCTGGCAGCAGAGACGGACAGTGAGGAGGTTGGGTAAGAGCATGGGCCAGTCCTGGAGGTTGGGGAAAGCTCAGATGAGGGCTCTGCATCAGAGGCAGAGATGGGGCCAAGGCTGTCTGGCAGTTCTCAGCTGCCTTCGGAGTTAAACAGCAGAGAGGCAGAGGAACAGCTGAAGTCTGTTCCCAATGTGTGCATGCGCAGAGAGGCCAGCAGAAAAGAACAGCTAAGAAATCAGGGTCAATTTGGGAGCAAAGCCACAGGTGGATGGTAAATGGCCCCTCTCAGAGGAAATAAAAGAGGAGCAAAAGGGGAGAGTGGGCTTTTGCAGGAAACAATTCGTTCGTTCGTTCGTTAGTTCATTTCAGGAGTGTAAAGATCTGTCCATGAATCTCAGAGAGTCTGTGCCAAGTCTTTCCTTGCACAGCACTGCATTTGCAAAATATTTACATGGCAGCTTTCCAAGCTAGATAAGGTCCGTGGTCATAAGTTCACCTTTTAAAGACTGTTTACCAGGTCTCTGCTGAATATGACTGAGAGGAATTTGTTTAATAAAAGGGGTTTTGTCAAGACCAGGGATCTGCTTCGTGCTTTTGGGGAAGCCTAGGTCAGAACAGCATGCTAGAAACATGTTGGATCCACAATTATCTCAAAGGTCCTGCATCCTATGAACTCAGGGACCATTTTCTGCATCTGAAAAGCTAGAACAGAAGCCATAGCCTAGTGCATAATAGCTTAGCATATGGCATCAAGTCCTTTGTGTTAGGAAGCAAAAGGAAACAAAAGCTACTTGGATTTCTGGAAAGATCTTAACAGTTGATACAGTTTTGTAACAGAATCATGTCTACTAAAATAATTCTTCCCTACTACCTATACCTAGTGTAATTAAAGTGGTCTTTTTCTACATCTCATTCTTATGTTTCCCCTGTCCCTTAGACTTCAGAATTTCTGCTCTAAGAGAAGGTGATGACTCGAGATAAGAACAGGGCAAAACATCAGGCTGCAAAAAGTTTTGGCTATAGGTTGCAGAAATCGGTCTTTGAAGTCATAGGATGCCGGACCTTTGAGATGGAATTCATATTTCTTGTTTGCAAATCCAGCACGTTCCTAGCATGCATCATCAGATATCTCTATTAAAAACATCCAAATCTAAGCACAGTTGGGAAATCATGTGAGAAAATAGTTTAAATAGCACTGTTATTGCTTTAACTTTGTAAACCGCAGTCACCTCGCAGTGAGATGGGTGGCAAACAAATTTAATAAATAATAAAATATATACTTAAAGAGTTCGATTCAAGAGTGAGAAAATAAAATAAAATGTTTATATACCTCATTCTTGAAGTGGTGCTCTTCCTATGTTCACACAAGGCAAAAATAATCAGCAAACCTGTTACTATGTTTGCTTCCTAATTAGTTTTTTTTCCCCACTTTGATAACTATACATACATACATACATACATACACACACACACACACACACACACACACACACACACACACATATATATATATATATATATATTTGCAAAGGGGGTGTTTTTAGAGGCTGAAGAGGGAGGGAGAGGGAGGAGAGGGAGGGGAGGAATATTATGTATATATACATACATACATACATACATACATTCATACATTCATACATACATACATACATACATATATATATATACACACACACACACACACACACACACACACATATGCATACACACAGATACACATACACATACACATACACACACACACACACACACATATAAAGCCCCATAAAGTACCTTTTTCTGGTGTGCGACACACTGTCCCACAATTACCCTCACAGCATCTTTTTATTCCTGGACATTCATCATCCTTCTCACATACATCAAAGGCTGCTCGGCAAACTGTGTATTGCACTGGACAGGTTCCAACTTTCACTGTGTACACAAAAACTGAGTTAGCAAAACATTCATATGAAATATAAATTAGGTTCTTCGGTGCTTCTTACAGAGAGAAATCCCTACAGATTTCTGGGGATAGGGGGAGGACATATACTTCCTCTGAAATATCCTCCTTCTCACTTGCACAAATTTTCTGGATTTTGGGAACTCGGCAACCTGATTCTCCTGAAGCAATACTGTATTTCATTGAGATGAAATGTGATTAATACACTTTAGTGGGTGACAAGAGTCTTACAAATGGTAAGCATTTTTGGGAAGACAGAGTTTAGAAAAACCTAAAAGGTCAAACTATCCAAATATTGTATGCATAATCCATTGCAAAAGTCATCACAATCTCTTATTTGATTACCTGAATGATTTTTCTGTCTACTCTGAATTTGCGAAGAATACAGATTTTTTTTAAAAAAAGTTTAAACTAGATTTTTAACACAACTTTTTCTGAGATACCACTTTGCTGTTTTCTGAGGGAGCCAAATGTATGGGTACACCTTTACTTCTTACGTACATTGAAGAAACTAATGGCCAAATTCTCCCTGTATTCTGGTAAACAGGCCTCTGGTTCAAATATATTATATCATGGTTTGCTTAACCATGGATTATTAAATAGGCTGCCTTTGGTTGGTTAAACCAAGCCAGGTGGTCTCAAAGAGAGAATGACAACTGAGGGAGAGAAAGGGGATGACCATTTATTGGGGTGGGGGTGTGGAGGGAAACAGGCTGAATAGAAAGCAGTGCCCTGTTCTCTGATCCCTATCTGAAATGTGACCCTTTGGTTCAACCTTTAGAGCAGCAATAATCATGTCAGGAGGTAACTCTGCTATACAAACCTTGACCCTGTACTCCATGCTACAGAAGGCTGTGATGAGGAAATGTGACCAGACTGCAGTGAGAAGGGAATTTCCAAGGACTAAGCCGGAGGTTGCAAAGACAAGATCTTTCTGTACCAGCCACCTATCGATTTCCCGAGGACCTTCCTTTCCCCTTAATTGCTGATGACACTTATGATACCCTTGCTTCAAACACAGTATAACCAATCAGCCCACCCATCTTCCAAGCTTCCTGGCATCTTCCTTTCACTACCCCAAGCAGTGAAGCAGGCAAAGGGAGTCAGGGAAGGGAAGGCACTGAGAAGATTGGGGACTGGACAAGTGGATGGGATATGCCTTGCTTGAAAATATCTATAGACCCCTCACATCCTGGACATAAATTATTTCAACTTATACCCTCAAAATGACAGCTTTAGAGCATTACACACCAGAACAACTAGACACAAAGACCGTTTTTCCCCACAGGCCATCACTCTGCTAAACAACTAATTTCCACAACACTGTCAAACTATTTACCTAGACTTCTTCTTCTCATCTTTCCTCTTACCTATCTCCTTTTTTTACTTATGACTATAACCTTGTTGCTTGTATCTTTATGATTTATATTGTTTTATTTAGTTTCCTAGCATGATTTGATTGCTTATTTAGTATCCTAACATTGTAAATGACAAGCTCAATGTCTTTAACTGCTGAGCCATCATGCCCCCTACAATAAATATATTGTAAAATTATATATTATCTGGGATTACATGTTAATTATTAAATAAGTGATATTTATTTCTTGCTCATCTCTAACCCCAATTAAATTATTAATTTTATTCATGGGAGCATCACACAAATTCATTAATCATTTTAGGGTGTCATACGAGGTTACAGTCATAATTTCACAGAGTGCAATGATTGAGCTTCCCAAAAGCTTGAATTCAAACCAAAATACTCAGATTATGGTACGGCAATTGCTATGATCTATTTTGATAATCAAAGTATAAATCCATCAAACATGCCATCCTTGATGATGGCAGGAGAACTCTGGTTCTCCTAGTCTGCTCCAAAATTACTAATACTTATTGTAATTTGGCTGGGCATGTTTCACTTAATGACATGTTTAACAAAAGATTGGTGGGAAGCATTACAACACAATTCCAATTCTGCAAGCTAGTTGCTGGTTCTTGGAGAGATCCATTAACATCCTTTTTTTTTTGTTATAAGACTGGGATATCATTATAAGAGGATTAATGAAAATGATATAGTTACAGGATAAAGCTTTCATAGCTTCCCCCCCCCCCAAATTATGGAAATTGAATTCTCTAAGTGAGATTCTTCTGACAATAGAGAGCCTTATGGCAATATTGCTTACATTTCTTTTCCCTAAAAAATTACTTGCTTGATGTGGACAAAGATGCAACTTTTAGAGCAAACATACACATACAGATTTGAGCTTGAGCTGTAGAAATTAAAGCATGATGGAGGAAAGAAGGTATAACATCCGAAAAATGCTCTAGTTCAGTGATACAGAAT